GACGCCTGTTAGCCCTAAAGTAATAGGCTTTCTCTTGTCTTCTACTTAATATAGAATTAAGCGCCTTCTCTATCTCTTTTAGCTACACAAGTCCTTCTTTAATTTCGACTTCTTAAGTCTGTAAAATATGACTTAAGGTTATAAGCTCTCTTAGTAGTATAGATACTAGATGATTAAAGATGTGCCTAAGTATTATTATAGCACCTAGAGTTATATTATATTCTCTAACTTTTTAAGCCAGATTCTTTAGCTTAATATAAGCTATATATATGCTTTACTCCTTAATCTTATATCTATAGAATTCACTAATATAGTCTTAAGTTATAGACTTTAGGGCCTTCTTAAATTTGTATTTTAAGTACTAAATAAGAAGAACTACTTCTTAATATCTATATACTATTTAATAGTCGTTATCTCTAAGTCCTTAAAAAATTAAGGACAGAACTATGGTATTTTAGGCTTTAAATAATAACTTCTTACTTTTTTTCTCTTGTTATTAGATATTAAATAAGTTATTACTAACTATATATTATATATTATTCTTAAGTATTATAACTTAAGATTATATAGCTAGTTATCTTAATTATTATATATAAGTTTTTTACTACTAAAGATCTTGCTTTTTATAATATATATTAGCTAATACTTTGAAGGCATGATCGACTGATGGCAGTGTGCCCTTGCGAAGTTTAATTTAGGATAAGTAAATTTTTGGTCAGAAAAGAAGACAAACCTATTCCTTAGTCAAGATATGAACTACTATAGTCATCTATACTCAGCTATACTCACTCACAATAATTGTAGACACAGTGTAAGTAGAAGCGAAGATATAGACTCTAATAAGGCCAGAGGGCGCGGGCTCCGCTCCCCTGACTAATAAGAATCCCTAATACTAAAGAATCTGCTTTCAGCTATTATTAACAAGATATAACTAGTTACAAGTAGAAGTAAAGAGACAATAAGAGGAGGGATTAGCATAAGAGAGATAAAAACCTTATCCTTAAAAAAATAGAGCGCAAAACTCTAAGCAGCCTAAAATATACTATTAGATATACTAAAAATAATACTATTAAGAATCCTTATAAATACTAAGGATATTATAAAACAAGCCTTTACAAAGCTATAACTAGTTATAACTAGCTAGAGTTAAGTTACTATATCCTCCTTACCCTTATTGCCTTTTATTATACATATAATTAATTAGTTGCAAATAATCGAAACTAAATATAAGGAACTAAAGATATCTATAAAGAATTAATAGGAAAAGGAAAATATTAAAAAGAGAAGTATACAAGACATAATAGCGGCTATTAAGTCTAAAGAACTAAAAGAGGCTATAAAAGAGGTTATTATAGTAAGACGCTTCTCTAGCAGAGATCTTTTAGTATTTACCCTTACTAAATCTTTAAGGATTACCCTTAAGAAGAATAAAGACTAGTTATATATAATTATATCTTCTACTAAAGTTCTTAGTACTACTTTCTCTATTTTTATATTTAAGGTAAGAGTTTAAGGAGTAAACATAAATAACTAATTATAAATAATTATAAAGATCTATAAAGATAACTAATAACTATATCTAGACCTTAAAATCTCACGAATTATATAGCCTAAAAAGGTACTTATAGATATAAAGTAATATAGTTTACTAATTTTAGAAACTACTAGTCCTGAAACTACAAATTATATTATTATATATAGTTTTATATATAAAGGTGAAATCAAGTTATATATTAAATATATTATAAAGATAAAAGTTATAAGATATTATAACTACTAATAATATAATTATATTTTGTAATTTTATTATAATAAGATAACTTTCTCTAAATATATAGGTAATTACTAGGTAGAACATTATATAAAGAGCCCTTAATTAAGTTATAAATGTGTATTATATAAAGGCGCCTATTATACAGGGTTATAATTCTATAAGATTAAGTATAAAGAAAGATAATAAACAGAATATATTTATAACTATATATCTCCTCTTTATTAATATATAGTTATAGGCTTATTAATATAATTAGGCGTTATAAGTCCTTTTGCCTTAGAACTTTAGGCCCCTTAAATATTAATAAATAAATAACAGACTATTATTATAACTAAATAAGGAAGACTTATATTAATAAGTTAAGCTATAAAAGACTCTAACTAGTCACGCTTAGTTATAAACCCCTTAGATAAGAGAAAAAAAAGAGATTTTATACCCTCTTCTCTAATAAACTAGGTCGCTTGTAGCCTGTTATAATCTCCTTTAGAGTCATAAAACTCATTTATATTAATTAATATAAATAAGGAACTATAATATAAATAATATATCTACAAATTCTGTAATACAATATTAATTACAGAAAAGAGGCTATCCTTGTCTTATTATTATAGGATACAAACATAGACAAATTTAATATACTCACGATTTAGGAGCTATAGAGAAATCTAATAGTTATAACAAGTTATAACTTAATATGCTTATAATTTTATCTTGCCTATCCTTTGTATCTGCTTATAAGAGTCTGTTTCTATATTAATAAGAGACTTAATATCTAATTATGATTAGTTATATATTATAGTAAAGACGCACAAATAGCTATACTTTAATATATAATAAATAAGCAAGAAGTTATAAATCTGCCTGATAGGCTAATAAGCTTCGCAGCCTCCTTGCAGACTATAGAAATCTATAATATTTATAACCTAAGTCTAGTCTTACACTTATTAATAAAAGAGGGTATACTTATAACTCTTTATAATTGCTTATAAGATATAATTAAAGATTATATTATAATTAGTGACTTTAATCTATATTATTCTTTTTAGAGAGGCGTAGCCCGTCTAATCTAGTATATATATGCTAACATCCTTTTAGAAATCGCTTATAACATATTATTAGAACTAGTTACAAGATATAATATAATAATATAAAGTATAAGAGGTTCTAATAGTATAATTAATCTTATATTTTTATCTTTTAATTACTTAAAGAAAAGCTAATCAAATATACTTCTAGACTAGATATCATGTAATCCTTAAATTATATACTAATTAAAATTACTCTAGAGCCCTAAATGCAACTAGTTATAATATAATATATGAAATATTAAAAAAGGCTAAACATAATTAAACTAAATAAGAAACTATTAAAGTTATATCTCTTAACTAATACTCTTATATTAACTAGTATTAAAGCAAGTATCTTATAATAAGATAACTTATAATTTATAAAAAGCTACTAGTCCTTTAAATATATATAAGTAATACAGAAAATATAAATAAGATATTATAACTATCTATAATCTAATATACCTATGTCTGAAGAATTATACTAAGAAGTAAGGTGTTATAAGGTAACTGTTATCTATAAAGCCAAATAGACAGAATTTTAAGAGTTTATTACTAAAGCTACTAATTCTCTTTAAGGAGCATTCTAACTTGCTAAATAAGTAAGACTATATATAGGCTGCTTAAGGGACTTATTACAACTGCTAACTTTGATTACAAAGATCTGTAACAAGTTATAAGAAATCGTAATAACTTGTCTAGAGACGCTTCTAGATAAGCTTACTACTTTATAAGATAAGTTCTTTCTAAAGCTTATAATAATAGATCTTATAGATATTAATTTAAGCCTTTATTTATCTCTGATTAATATTAAAGAGACAATTAAAAAAGAGAAGATCTAATTAGCATTATAATATCTTATAAATAATAGAGCCTTAGGACTAGATCAGATCTTAAATAGAGTACTTAAGGAAACAGAAGAATAGCTAACTTCTTACTTGCTTAAGATCTTTAATATAATAGTTCGTATCAGATATTACCTAAAAGTATAGAAAAAGGCTATTACCCTTGTATTACAAAAGCTAAATAAAGAGGACTATATAGTAGTAGGAGCGTACCGCCTAATTACTCTTCTTAACACTATAAATAAACTGCTTAAGTTAATTATATTTTATAAGCTTTTATAACTAGTCAAAACTTATCATATCTTTTTAGAGATACAAATAAGCGCATATAAAGGAAGATTAACAGAGTCAGTTCTTTAACTTCTTACAGAACAGGTCTACATTATCTAGAATCTCTCTAGTAAATAATAGGTAGTAATCATGTTAGCTATAAATATAATAGAGGCATTTAATAACATATTATATATATGGCTTCTTAATAACCTACAAAAGAAAAGGATCTCTAACTATATTATATAATAAGTTATAAGCTTTCTTTATAAGAGATCTATTAACGTGGTTCACAAGCGACCCGCCTATATAAGCGACCCGCTTACCTTTTTTTAAAATAACAGTCTTTTGATTATTAGCTAAAATTAGATTATGATTATATAATAAACGTTATTCTTAATATAATAGAATACTTTTTAAGGTTAAAGTTATTTATATAAGCCAAGAAATATTAATTTAAAAATATTATAAAAAGGTAAAATATGCCTTAAATCACTCTTTTTAAGTATTTATATATATAATATATAATCTTAAGAAAGGATAAGCATAAGGGTGTCTTCTCTCTCAAATAGAATAATATCACATCCACTAACAGTAGAGTCAGTTTCGGGTCTGAGTACAAGTCAGATACTTAAGAGTCAGATGGTTTTCGTAAGCCAATTCCCCTGGTTCGATGCGCGCAGGCGACTCGTGTACGCAGCGCACACGTTCACCCACACCGCCATCTGGATTTCGTTTGGTTTCATCGCCGCAGCGACTACTCACACCGGATACCGCGAGAAGGTAGAAATCCATATCCCAGCTGTCTGAATGACTGACAGCTGCTCAGTGCAAGCTCACTGAGGGCAAAGATTAATTATATCGTATATATTATTAATCTAAGGCAGAAATCCTTATAAATTTAGATCAGAATATACACTTAATAAGTCACTATTCTCATTTTTATCTTCAAAACTGACAATTCGACGATGCTGTTTCAAATTTTCTGATGTACTCTTCAATATCAAGTTTCTTAGTTAAAACCCAGTTGATACGTCACCAAGCTCACTCCGCGGCCTCATACGGCGGTGGGTTTTGACTGAAAAACGACGCCCAGTCACTGTTACCCCAATCTCTCATGCACTTAAAACTAATCCCAGCGTCCAACGACATCCAAGCATAGCTATCGGCATTAATCTCCGGCATGGCGGGGTTTTCGTCTTGCTCCGGGTCAATGAGGCCATGCACACGCGGGGGATCATACGCCGGCTCGCCATCTTCGTTCTTCACGTCTATGATCTGTTGCGCCAAGGACGTCTCAGGGCCAACGGAGCTGTAGTGCAACATTTCGTGTAGCGCGATGCGCGAGAAGGAGTCCATCTTCGTGCTAGGGAAAGGGTCCAAGGAAGCGCAGTCGACGTCGTCGGCCTTTCCACGAGTCCACGAGGGGTCGCAGAAATGGATCTTCTCGCGGCTGTCGAGTCGGTCGGTGAGTGTGTAGGCTAGGGTGCCCTCGTCGTTGCAGTCGGCCTCATTTGAATCGTCCGCGGCAAAGTCTGCGGAACTAATTAGCGGAGATTACAAAAAGGAAACAATAGGAGAGGAAGCTACAAAGCGAATGTGGAGCTCACCAAGATTATCTACAACAAACGTCCCGACAACAGTCCCAATCAGTTCGTCGGGACTGCTCGTACCTGCAATTAGGCCTAAGACATCCTTGACATGGGTCTGGAAGTCGTCTTCCTCATCGCTTTCTGGGAAATAGCGCTTATAGGGCGCAAGGACGTCCTTAGCCGAGATTTGGCCAAGTATGGACATCATGCGTATTTCGCGACTGCAGATGACATAGTGAAGTAACTCGAGATGGGCCTTATCGGTGTCATCGTCCGGGTTGAAATTGAGGTACTGCCACTCGTGGTCGCAAGCTTCGCCAAGCGGGTAGGTAGAAGGCGCGGGTGGGTCGCGACGGAGGACTGGGGATGGGTTGTTGAGGACTGGGCTGGCGCGAGCCACCGCTAAGATAAGCGCAAGGGAGAGGACTTTCGACAAGGACATTGTTGGAGAAGGTGAGTTATTGCTACTCGGGTTATGAAATAGAATTGTGAGGAGAGCGAGACGAGTAGTTCTGTCCACCTGAAGGGGGCCATTGACTTCTTATTTATAATGTTTCTGTTTTGCAGGTCCTCTCAACAACAAGGAAGAGACGACAACCCATTCCTTATCCTCCTTTGCCTTGACTGCGGACCTGCAGAGGAATGACGAATGGCAACACGACCAATCCTCAAAGTGAATTCGCGGAGGCTGTGCATGCATTTCGTAATCTCTACTTGTTGCTCGGTATTTCAGCCTCGTGTTCGAGCATTGGAAGGTCAGCGTTTCCAGCTGAAACACCCGGGGCTGTAGACATGATCTAGAGTGGGGATACAGGCCAAGCCACTGCCCATGCCCATTCGTCGAGGTCGAGAGAGAATTATTTTAGGAGCAGTAGGTGATGTCCTGTAACCTTATGGGGGCCCATTCGAGGGCAGGGCCTCCTTATATGCGCCGACGATAAATTGCGCAGTAGGCTTCTGTCTTACTAGAAAAATAATTCATCGATTTGCGAATTCAGGGCGGGTGGGTCATATGGTTGTATGCACGCCGGACTCGTAGTGGCTTTTGGCGCTCAGCCTACAACTGACATCTTAAAATTGGCTGCCGGCTTGTAAGGCATAACCAGTGATGTCTGTCGTTATGAGCGGCCGGGATGCTATGAAGAGTCGGCGCTAATGATGAGAATATGAGAGGAGCAGGCCGAAGGGCTAACTTAAGGCTTGTTTGGGGTTTCACTCACAGGTTTCACCATACCGTAGTCACAGCACAGCCGACAATAAGCGTCTGCCTGGTCTCACATGTTGCTTGAACCCGCCAGATAACCCATAACTGTCAAGACCTTTTCAATAACTTCCAGTCATTCCATTGATTTCATCCAGAAGCCGCAGAACCTGTACTTGCACCTACATCTGCACACTATAACATGATGAACGAGTTGCGAATCCAAACACAAATCCACAGCCGCTACCACGTCTTTGATGCCTCAGGCCAGCTGCCATTCAGCATAGTTTTCGGCCTCTGTCGTCGATCACCGGCTGATACTGACCTTCGACCATTACTCCTCGAGATTGCAGGCTCGGTACTGGATGTCCCATATGCGCTAGCACATGGCTTGCTTACCCTACACGAACAAGATCCCGAAGACGCTAAGCAGTGGGTTGAAGTAGATCTAAGCCGACTGAACGAAGTCGCCGCCAAAGAGGCAGAGTGCCTTTCCCTGCCATCCCCGGTCAACCGGACGGAGCACTGGAGAGATGCTTTCACGGTATATCAGTGTCATGTCGATGTTAATGGTGAGTTGGCATCGATTCTGAAGCCGGGAAACAAGTATATCATAAGACTGGCGAGCGAGGATCTCGGCGTGAAACGGTGGGTGTATAGTGATCGAAAGCAATTCGTCGACAATGATGGGAAGCCAAGCCATGATTTTGAAACCGTAAAGCTGGTCAACAGCAAACCCACTGCCGGTAACGCGACATTCACGGTCGTAAAGGGCCTGTCCTGGCCACCGAGAATGCATACAAGGATGCGTCTTTGCGCATCTTCCCCATCCTCTGATTTCGCACTTGCCAACGCCAAGCTAAGCAGTAGCACTGCCTTGGAAGTCTCTGTCCTCAACACTGGTTCCGACTCCGTCACCGTGCAGACGCGGGGACACCAGCGTTTCTTGATTCCCTGGGGTCCCTTCCAACCCGAACCTGACGCTGACGACGATCGCATGAGAATTATTGACGCCACGCCCCATAAACCGCCGACGTCCAGTCTGCAGATTGTCGATTCTACGACAGGGGAAGTGGTCCGGGGGAACGAGCAGCGCGGCACAGGCCCGTTGACAGATTCTAACGCTGGTCGACGGCCAAAGGCGGAGGATGTGGTGACTTTGAAGCCTGGAGCGCCGGTTATCAGGAAAATTGATATCGCAGCGCTGGTGGATGGGTTGGTGGATGGACAGTACAAGATTCGGATGCAACCAAGGGGTTGCCGGTGGTGGCATGGGGAGGTTGGAAAGGAGGAAGGCGAGGACGGGAGGGTGCCAGCCCAGTTATGTGGGATCATCATTCCTCCTCTGATGCTTGAGTCGCAGGATGAGGTAGAGCTACGCATAAGAGATGGGAAGGTAGATCAGAGCATGTGAGATGCCGTAAGTAGGACCTCTGAGTACGAGCTCAAGACAGTTTCGCAGCGTTTCTCAATTGTCTCGACGTACCTCCGTCCTGAGCTAGCGCGCAACCCGAATACTGCTCGCGAAACCAATTTACAGAGCAGGAGGCGCACCATCTCGTTTGGCTCTTCGGTAGCTTTTACTATGACTCTCTCGTTGACGTTGTCGTTGCTGTTGCTCGTCTTGCTGCAGATCAGAAGACACGGCTTTCATTGCTTTATTCCTCTCGATTTGACAGCTTGACGGCGTTGACATCTTTGATATCGTTTCATCCTGTTCATCCCGTCTCATCTGGTTCTTCCCCTTTCAGCACACGCATGAACGATATTAAAGCTCTTCCCTTCTTTCTTTTGATACCCCCCACCATGTTAGCTCATTCGCTTTCTTTTCACCTCTTTCAGCATAAGCGTCCCCGTCTGTACTTTCGCCCCCCATCCCTGAATTGGCGATGGTCATCTGAGATGAGGTGTGATTGTATCCAGCCGTCAGATCGCCATCCTCATTGTCGTCGATGACAGTGGGATTCTCTGTCAATCATCAGCTCGTGGCCAAAGTGAAATCGAGGATCATCGGCCTAACCCTGACTGTTTTCATTATTAGCCTCGGCCTGAATTTTGAGGGTTGATGCCTGCGTGGGCGGATATTGAAAGAGCGACCAACCAGGGTAATTGAACTTGGGTCTCAGTGGTGGGAGCCATCTGTATAGTAAGTTCGAGGAAGATGGAGAATGGCAGAAGGACGGAAGAGGTTATCTTTATATGTACCTTGAGAGCCCTCGCTGGGGCTGGAATTCAGCATCGCCTCCTTAAAATCCATCATTGCCCTCAGCCATACTTTTTCGGCGGGTATCCCTTCGTCTCCTGCCGGGAGGGACATTTTAGCGTCAATTAGTGGCAATGCTAGCAGGGGGGCCTCTCTGCATCAAATTGCTCTAATTCTGTAAATACTAGTAGAAATAGTGCTTATGAAATGCTCAGGGCGCGTGCAGCGCTGCGAATTCTGCGAATTCTACTCCTTCGTATGATATCGCTGCCAACAGGGTCCTTTAACGCATAACGGTACGTTACACTGTTTACAGCTTCTATAGCCCTTGGGTGCTCTCTTTGTAGAGCCTGTTTGCGTATTTGATACAGTATTCGTACGCTTATTAAGCGTTATATCCATCTTGCATTGCATACACTCTGCTTATATAGATCGAATCTCTATTTCGTGTAGAATAAGAGTATCAAATCAAATACTTGTGAGTATGATGCGCCTTCTTTATTATTATACAAGTGTAGGATTATCAAAAAAGCTAAATAAGTATATATATAGCTTAGTTCAAAAAACTGCGTGCTTTAGAAGCTATTCTTTTGATGTAGCTTGCTTTATAGCAGCTATATCCCTTGTGACCCCGATTAACCCCTGTCGTGGTCATCCTTCCTTATAAAGTTTAGCGTTAAGAGATACCTGTCACGTGTTATGTTAGAAGCAGGCAACGAGTGCGCGAGATCTTCAGCCCATGTTGAGTGCTATCCTAAGACTGCAGAGCTGACAAGGATGGCACTGGGGTCGCTTCTATATAGCGAGCATGCCCCTTACTAACGCGTAGTGCCAATTAATACCCGGCGGCCCTAGCGCTAGCGGCCGACAAGCATGGCAGCTGTGACATCACCCCCCCCTCTAGAAGACTCGACATGCCCTTATGTCCTAAGTAAAGAGAGAGATATAAATAGAAGAAGATCTACAGAATAACAACGAAACACACAGTCAAGTCAGCGGTGTTTAAGCCGGTAACGAGATCAAGCTGACAGCATTATAATGCGTGTTGCCTTGTTTTCCTGGTCTCTTGAGTGGTTGCTCTATTGTCATCTGGGTGCTCTGAAGGTGACTTATCTCTTAGAGCGCTGTTAAGCCAGTGCTGGAGTCGCTTAGATGGACCAGCTTCCTGTGGGTACACATTATGGTAAGCTTATAACGCTAGAGGAGCGTTCTGTAGGTTGCTAGCAGGGTATCATGTATTATCAGGGTCCCATCCTTGCTATTATATCTTGTATTTCAGCCAACCTCTACTAATTCTTAATAACAGAATTCGAAGGTGACTTATCTCTTAGAGCGCTGTTAAGCCAGTGCTGGAGTCGCTTAGATGGACCAGCTTCCTGTGGGTACACATTATGGTAAGCTTATAACGCTAGAGGAGCGTTCTGTAGGTTGCTAGCAGGGTATCATGTATTATCAGGGTCCCATCCTTGCTATTATATCTTGTATTTCAGCCAACCTCTACTAATTCTTAATAACAGAATTCTCTTAACTTCTTACTTGAGATCTCTATTAACTTTAATTATAGAAAGTAAAATAAGGATCTAGCTAAGGAGAGGATTATTATCTGCCTTATGTAGCCGGTTTATATATAGTACTAGTAAGATATAATAAGAAGATAGGAGCTCTAGCTTATAAAAGTAGCTAATTATCTTTATAATATAAAAGGGGTTTGTAACAGAATAGTCTAGCTTATTAAAAAGCTTATCTATTCTTTATAGCTTCTTAATAATAAATATAAGGTCTTCTGATTAGAAATTAAGTAAGTAACATTTCTTATTAGCTTAATAAGTATGCTAAGCTTAAGCTAAGGTTATATTTATTCTAGTCTAGCTTACTATCTTATTAATATAGTGTAAATGCTCTCTTACTTACTCTTAAGTAACTTATTCTTATACATTTTAGTATAAGTTATTACTTATTTATATTTAATTGAAATCTAAGTAAGATTCTTAGTTATACTTAATTATATAAGGTATAAGTCTTATAGATTTATAAACTA